GGCGGAGCAGCTGATTATCACTCACACCTGCAGATCCTCTCCTGCAAACATCCAGGGGATAAAAGGAGTTGGCTGTCAGTTTTCTATAGCGCCTGCAGGACCAGGTGAGACACACACACACACACACACACACACACACACACACACACACACACACACACACACATCTCCACCCCAATAACATCATCCTAAACAATGCCCCCCTCCAGAAGATGCATTCTTAGATAAAACCTCTGCAAACATACCTTCTGCCATGTTGAACCAGCCGGGACTCCCCAGGGTTTGTTTGTTTTTTTGTTTGTTGTTGTTTTTTTTTCTTATTAGTTTGTTGAATCCCCTCACCGCTGCTCTCCCGCAGTGGTCTGCACTGTTGGTCACCACAAATGATAAAATTTCATCCAACAGAAACCCCCCCACCCCACCATACGCTCGGTCACGTCCACGTGATTACAGTCCCCAAGGATGCAGGAGGCATTGTGAGGAGGGTCCAATCAACACGAACCAGGGGGGTCTGCGTGTTTTTTTTTTAAATCAAAACCTGCTTAATCGGTAGTTTTACTTTTAATGTGTTTTTATTGGCAGGATTTGGTCAATTTATGTAGCTTCAAACAGATAAATTCACCTTCAATTGATATTTTAACGATTAAGGCACCCGGATGCTGACATGGTCATTTAAACAATTTTTTTTCTGTTTTTACAAGAATTTCCTCCTAAAGGAATCTGCTAAACTAATTAACCAAGTTTTCAAATATTTACCTAAATTAAATCWCAACTTGCTATCAGGTTTTAATTGATTAGAAATCAACAATTTTTACTTTAGCAAGCTGTAAAATGTTGCATTTCTCCTTTAAAATCAAGTTTCTGTTTCTCCAAACACTGAAGACAATAGACAGATTTGAGACAAATTGATAATTATGTTTTTTTTTCTGGTTTCACTTTCCAAAAGAAGAGTTTAAAACAAACTAACCTCCCCTAAACGGATTCCATACAGTGATTGATCACATCATGCGTCACGTGCTTTCAGAATCAGGAATGCATTAAAAACAATGAAAACATCAAGCTTCAGGTAAAATCATTTAATTCCAATAAAAATGATTAAAAGTTTTCAAACTGTTTATTCTAGATTTATTGTTTAAAATATAATACACAACAAATTTGTGTCTTGTTTATAGGTGAGAATTTTGTTTTGTTTTCTCACCACACCAAACTCGCACAAAACACATTTTGATTTACATGCTTTAAAACAGGCAAAAATCGATATTTATTGAACATTCACGCTTTTATCTTCAATTAAAACGAGTCACTTTAAGAATACATGTTGGTTGATTTCGCTTAAATGTGTTATTGAAGTTAATTAGGTCCGTCCTAATGAGGAAAAGTGAAATTAGGTGATATTTTCTGGAAATGTCCACATCTGAAACACATGATGAATGTTTCAGAGGTAATGAGACCACAGCGACCCCTTGTGGATCTATAGATCCCAATAAACATGACCAAGTGTTACATAACTCTCCACACATAAACAAAAATATATAAATAACAGGAAAAGAACTTAATATTATTTATTAATAATGCAAAGCTTTAGTTTAGAACCTCTATTATCTGTGTTTCTTCTGATGTGATTCATTTATTTGGTGACCTTTTTATTTGTGTCAAAAATATTTATCGCGTGAAGGTGACGGTTTTTCCAGACTGGATGAAGTAACTTTGTGTTTTTAGGAGTAAAACTTGTTTGCCTCTGGATAATTGTAAAAAAAGTATGTGCTTTAGATAAAACTTTATTCTCTAATTGCATTTGATTTCTTATTTAACACAAAAACAACTTCTAAAATGCACAATCTTGTGCACCAGTTTAACACCAACGTTTTGCCTTCTTTTAACATCTAGGTCTGTGAATGTATATTATATTTGTATTGGGCTGTTAAAGTCTATGCTTGTTTGGACTATAAAGCTYGTTGAGTAAGAAAGCTTGATTTAATAAGGTGTCAGCGAGTTACTGCAGAGGTCAGTGCCTTTAAAACTGCTGCCTAATGCGTTGGCTCGAAGCCCACTGCTTCTGGACTGCACAGCAGAGCTCAGGCCACCAAGCTTCCTCTGTTGCATCAATTTAAGCAGTGTTAAAGCTTTATTTTCATACGACCTGATGACAAACCTCTCTAATTAAATGTATAATGCCTAAAGATCATTGCATGGAATTCTGCTCTTGAACAGGTCGCACATTTTCTTTGTWACAAGATTTGTAACAAGCTGTTAAGAGCCCTAAAAAGATTAATTATTGTATATATGCTTTTTAAATGTCCCTTCCTGATCTTTTTCACCAACATCCCATTTAAACACTATAATAATTTCCAACGGTCCCTGAAGCTGTTGAAGTGAGCTGACTGTGTTWTATAATTTGGCCACTAGATGGCAGTGTATCTCACAAACAGGTAAGACTAAAAAAGTAAAACCAAGGCATTTTTAACTTTACAGCCAATGCATCAATAGCTTTTTGTATCAGAAGAAAAAAAATAGATGAGATAATTCTGTTTAATTTTATTTGATATTTATAATTCTTAGTTTATTTTCTATTTTTTTGTGTATATCTGTGAGAGGAGGTGGGCTAAACGAGGAGGAGACTGGTCCGCCTCTTTCTCCATAAAATACTTAAAGGGATCCACCATTAGTTGTAACATTTAACTTTATTTGATAAACATTTATTTTAACTGTAAAATAATGACTGTAAAAATACTGTAGACGGTTTAGTTTTGTTCATTTAAAAAAACATTTTAACACGGACTGAGCTATTTTATTTACATGCAAAGCATTCAGGGTAAATGATGACATCAACTAGGTCATCGGTGTGAGGCTGCTAGCGAGCTATATCCACCCTGAAGGTTAATCTTGGACAATATCTGATGATCGACTCTTTTAAATGAAACCAGAGAGCGTTGACAGAGAGGAGAAGGTAGAAATGACTCAGCCTGGAACTGAAAATATGGATGGAGGATCTCAGGCTTGTTTGCTGCGCTAGCGC